CAACATGTTAATATAGCGAAGTCATTAAAGTTACACAGCTGTATCTTTATTACTGTACTACCGGTATAGCAAAGCCTAGCTATCATAGATTTAAGATCTGTATTAGTAGTATCCTAGATATATGCTCTGAGCGCGAACGCGGTGATGGGAGGGTGCTCTTCATTCGTTTGCCAGTGAGTTTAGCATCAGAACACCTGCCACAGTAGAGCGCTGTCGCTCTGCGGCACTTGTTAATAAATTAAATTGATAAAATTATTAAAGAATCAATGAAATAAAGATGATATCTTCGAACTAAATATTCATTCGTTATCGAACGATAGCCTCTTGCATTGTTGTTTGCAGGATGAAGCCTTTGATCTGTGGGCGGAACAGTGGGGAAAGCTTTACCCCGCCGACAGCAGGTCGCGCCGCGTGATCGACTACATCATAGGCAACTACTGCCTTGTCAATCTCGTCGATAACGAGTTCCCGGGAAACTGCCTCTGGTCGCTGCTCGAGCGCATGGCTGAGGTGCGACGACTGCGGCTGGAGGCTGCTCACAAGGACTGGTTGAGCGAGGCGCACGACAGCAGCAAGGTGAGGGATAGCAGGGTGTTAACAGGTTATAGTAGTAGAGGAAGATCAGGGTGTACACGGGTTATAGTAGTGTTGGACATCAGGGTGTTGTACACAGGTTATAGTACTGTGGGACATCAGGGTGTGCACAGGTTATAGTAGTGTTGGACATCAGGGTGTGTACAGGTTATAGTAGTGTTGGACATCAGGGTGTGTACAGGTTATAGTAGTGTTGTACACCAGGGTGTGCACGGGTTATAGTAGTGTTGGACATCAGGGTGTGCACGGGTTATAGTAGTATTGGACATCAGGGTGTGTACAGGTTATACTTATAGTAGTGTTGGACATCAGGGTGTGTACAGGTTATAGTAGTGTTGGACATCAGGGTGTGTACAGGTTATAGTAGTGTTGGACACCAGGGTGTGTACAGATTATAGTAGTGTTGGACATCAGGGTGTATAGAGGTTATAGTAGTGTTGGACATCAGGGTGTGCACGGGTTATAGTAGTGTTGTACATCAGGGTGTGCACGAGTTATAGTAGTGTTGTACATCAGGGTGTGCACGGGTTATAGTAGTGTTGTACATCAGGGTGTGCACGGGTTATAGTAGTGTTGTACATCAGGGTGTGCACGAGTTATAGTAGTGTTGTACATCAGGGTGTGCACGGGTTATAGTAGTGTTGTACATCAGGGTGTGCACGGGTTATAGTAGGGAGGAACCTAGTGTGTACACAAGGAAGCAAAGTTCGGAGCTTCAGGGTATTAATGTTGAGAGCCATTAAGGTGAATCGGGGTGTATATATAGTGAGTGGGATCACGCTTATAGAGACATAAAACTTTAGTATTTTGGTTAGAGTTTGGTACTCTTTTCAGTTTGACAAAGCTTCATTGGACTCTGGTGACACAGCAGGGAGTGAAGAGATTGACGTGCCGCCTGGCGATATATCTAAGGTTGTTTCAACCTGAAACCGTCCATCCACCCAATTCCCAATAATGAATGCCAAGCATTTTCAGTATTTATCAGCAGCTTTCCTTCCATTTTACACAAAGTTGCTTGAAGAGTTTATAGAAATCGTTTTTAAAATGATTGTAACGTTGTGTGTGCGTTCACGAAGCTCAGCGTATAAACATGTTTTGTGGTGTTAGCCATTGCTCAAGGATAATGAGGTTAGGTGCGTGTCACTCTGTGCAAGTAAGTGTGCTTCCACACTACCAAATGTTCTGTGACCAGTCCCACTGATTTTCCTAGTGTTCATTGGATTTTCGTGCATTATTTAATAATGACACGACTATCAGTTTGTACTGGTTGTCCTCTTGGTACTAATTAATATTATATTATATAATAATTAATCTTAATATTATTAATATGTGGCATATCTCTAATTCACATAAAAAAGAAATTGAAAGTTATCATTTAAAATTGCAATCCCCCTAATAAAAAGCTGGCATAATATTCGCAGACATATTATCGTTTCTTAACGTTCGCATAAAAATGTCCCAATGAATAATGCAACATTTAGCATGAACAAACCTTGAAATAAATTGATGAATATAGTTAATAAAATGTAAACAAACTGATATGTCTGTTCGTTAAAAATATCCTTGAGCATGTGTGTGCTGTAGGTGGTACCCTCTTGGTAAAGTAGCATTCAGAAAATAATCTCTTTATCAAACTTACGTTCGTTAATAGATTTTGGCACAATGGTATGATTTACGGTTTATTTGCGTATTGTTTTGCATGGCCTGCACAAATATATGCCACGAATGTACAAATATATGCACAGAGATGGTAACCCTCTCAGGAGTAGATGTATAGTTCCAACAAAGCATACAGGATGCTTTTCTCGATGTAAACATTGGAACTCGTGAATCAATACAGCTTTTGTGGTGAGTCCTGTATCTCATAAATATATTGTTATGCTCAAAGTGCACACACAGAACACTACGTTGATTTGCTACACAGAGATTTCGGGGGGAGGGGAGCATGCCCCGCCTGTAAAATGCACCCTAATAAGAATCTGGTCCCGTTTGCATAAAGCTATGGCAACATTACGATACTCTAACGTTGTACACTAGAAAACGAAACCACGACCCATCAGATATCACGAACCATGATATCTGATGTACCACGATGTACAATCGACAAGGTGGGTATAATTTTAAAAATGGGTATGAGATTTAAGATAGAGATTTTCTTGATGAAATGGTGTAGGGAACATGTGAACATGTAACAGTTGTGGCGTTTGATGAATTAAAACGCATTCATATTGTATCCGCATTCGCATTCGCATGAATTAAAATGTATTCATATTGTATCCTGTCGATGGAAAGTCTATGGAGGCTGGTTAATTTATGACTGGTAACTGAAAACGAGTGTCACTATGTGCATGTTTATGTAATGTTAGTATCTAGATGTTTAGCTAAACCAAGTGAAAGTTTATATTAAATTTTTAATCACACCTGTTAGTTTGACCTATCATATAAACTACTTCCTCTCTCGTAGATAGCTGTTGTGTAATTATCAATGATTATCATTATTTTTCACAACACTCCTGGTAGGGAGCAGTGTCATCTTATTTCGCAGGATTTGATTTCAAATGGTCGTTATTTTTTAAATCAGTTCATCATGTCTCGTTCATTTCTGTAGTGCACAGATGGTACGTGCTGGTCAATAAACTGTGTCACACTAAATATGCTGAGAAGTGGATCTCATGTCATTTCTTTGTTTGTATTCCCTGCCTGTGTAGTAAGACTGTAAGTAATCAGAATTAAGTTACCCAAACAAACTGCAGGAAATACTGACACAAAATCCAGATGTTAAATCTTTAGATTGTTGCAGATCCCAAAGCAGGCGATTTCTGTCTAAAAACAAGAAATATTCTCATTTTATTTATGCTGGAGTTCACATCGCTGATGAAAGAACAAACAAGTAGACTGCATGTTAAGATTACACGTATCCAATAAAAGTGTATTTAATGCGTACACAATCCCATAAACTTGTCAACCTGTAATCCATGCGATAAAACGAAGATTGTGCATCTATACTGACAATTGCACGTCACAGACGTTCTCGTAAGCTTCAGGATGTCACTGCTTACTTAACCTTTGCACCATCGTGAATTTTTCCATGCATTTTCACCCTCAGTAGCGAGGGTGTTCTAAACGCTGGATTAATACTCGTGCGGTATCTCTTTCAAAACGCTACAGATTGTCGATTAAAATAGTGATGTAATAAAATGGCTGTGTTTACAGTTCTTAGAAAAATACAGCATACGATGGTCGACTACCATATACTTCACACACGTCGAGTGCCAGTTACAGGGCTATCATTGCCTCTGTCTCCCCCTGTAGACAACCACCTGGATGACAATCTGCCAAACAAATATTCTTATTTCTTAATCAATAACTAAACGTACACAGCATCCTAAAAAATAGTTACACTCATGTATCCCTTCACTCCTGCTTCCTTTAGTATGAATGAAGGGCAACATAAGTACAGTTAGTCCCCCCTCCCAAATAGATGCTACATCACTCTCCTAACAATTATAATTTCAAAGTTTGCAATGTATAGCCATCAGTCTAGGTTTACTATTAAACAACAAACAAAATGAAGGCCGATTAAATGACTGTATAACAATCACCAATAAATCGCGCATTCATAATTGTGGATATGAAACATAATACAAACAATAATCACTTTTACTGCGTGTATTTTGCTAAGCAACTGCTAGGTGAAACCATTGGATATCATCAGGTTGGGGGCGCCATGATACCTCTACCAGAAGTAGTATCATTTATAGTGATGAATGTAGAGTTCTGACGATAAAATGCCATCCTGTGCTACAGTCAACTGCACAAATTGGCAGTTCAAGTGATGCAAACAAACATTTCACCTGTAAATATAAAAAAGTTATTGTAAATGAGAGTCGATAGTGTGCAATAATGATGTACTAATGAAGCTCATATCTGCCACCATAATATTCTAGATATCATGAATCCAATATTACTTGGTCTGTAATTTCAGAAGTAAAGATTGAACAAAAGTACACGTGTATTCAAAAGCTCCACATCCCAATTCCATTGTTATGGCATCGATTGACAGCATAGCATGCGATAAATTAAGGTAAGAGAAAGAGATTCAAACGTACCATTGATATTTTGTTTTTATTTCAGCAGCGTAGGGAACCAGCTAGAAATATACAATGTATATGTAACGCTATGGATGTAGTGGTTGCCAGTAATAACATTTTATGAGATTCTAGATGAAATCATAAAAAGGCAACAACTGAGAAGAGTTTAAGGTCGTCTTGCATTTCCTGGGTTTGGGACATCACATGGGTTACATTTCCTGAAGAAATGAACCACAAACTGCATTCCACACGTGTACATTTGTGTGCTGTCATTTCATCAGGAATTTCAAGCAATGTGTCATTTGTGTCAAGCATCCAGCATCAGAAACTGCGAGGCGACTGATTTTCACCTTTCAGGTTTAACTACACAATGACACCCTGGGCATCGTTTTAATTAAAAATTAGACGTTTGTTTTGGCAGCTGTATCGCAGATCAATTCAGAACTATTCACTAAATATGTATCTGGTATAAGTAAAGATACCTGCCCAAATTTACCGCCATGTTTGTCAGAGTAAGGTATAGATAGGAACGATTTTGCTCTTACTATATTTGTTTTGTCATATAGATTCCCCAAGGGTTATCTACATGTACTGCAGATATGCACAAAGAAAAACATGCACTTTCCAAATGCCTACTCTGCCAAATGCCTGTTATGTATTTTTTGTTGGTTACAGTGATGGTGGATTGAGGGTGGTGGTAGAGGCGGCATTAGTGGGGGTACACACCCAATCCACTACACTTCTGCATGTGCATTATAGACCACGCATTCACCATCGTCCTCAATTGGTCGTGAATACCAAACAAGAGTTTCTAATTTAGCACCATTTTCTATGTCGTTTTAACCACCTTTTAACCACCTCCTGCATCTGTCCAGGAGGCAGGTTAAAAAATTCAGCTAGGGTACAAAAAATATGCGTGCCAGCATTCGTACATTGCCCACCTTTCTCAATAACTGTCCCACTGGCTCAATTATACATTGCCCACCTTTTTGAAGTACGAGAACTTTTACTGCTCCTTCTTTGTGTTGCTTTCTTCTGGAACAGTCCTTGGATCGACCCTATTCACACAAGTTTTTTTAATTCATACACACGTGATTTTGTTGTTATTATTATTATTATTACATTTTGCACTACCCAACTATGCTAGACGAATTTGTTACCGTTAGATCGATGGTACCACTAGGTAAAACACTTACTTTTGCGTCGCACCAGTCTCTTTTTCCTTTTTGGTCGGAGGGAAGATTGCAAAAAGCAAGATAGAATACAGAGGCCACCCAAACCACACTATGTGTGGAATGTAGTACAACAGCCGGAATGCCTGCAATGAAGAACTGCAATGAGGAATCTGGAAATGAACAAGGCAGGTGATGGGGAGGAAGGAGACCAACCCAACCAACCTGAAAACTATGGCCGCATTTCAGCAAAACACCAGTTTTTTTGTCGAGCAAGGATTTAGCTTCCGTGTACCATTTCACAATCACACAAAGGTATTGGAGAAGCCGCTACAACTTGCATTTAGTGAAAGCTGTGATGCTATTTTATGATTCAAATAAACAATTTATCTCAAAGTACTTACTGCTACGGATCGAGTCCAAGTCAGAAGACCGAATGACAAGAAGGTATATCCTGTCAACAAATGGGCCCACAGGAAACAGAAAGCCACCACAAATGGTTGCAATGCTGGCGTCTTATAAAATATTTTGTTCAATGTAGCATTTCTCGTCACAAGCACTACGAACTGCAAGAAAATTCCAAGACCAGTTTTTAGAACATTAAACTAACAGCCAGAAATCTTGCCTTCAGCCTACAATGCTGAAGCTGTAATTGACTTCAGAAATCTACTTGAATTTCCCTTTGATTAATTTTTCATGTAAATAGCTTTTTTAACTACTATTAATGTGAAACTATGCCAAATAAATTGATAGATGCAAGGTTTATTAGAAAACATAATACGGTATACAGCAATCGATCAACCTGAGTCAATGTGACATCTACAACCAAGTACACACATTTTTGGATTAAACAAAATATGTGAGCATATCACTTTGGCCAAACGTTGGCCGAGAAAATTGAGAATTTTAGTACTGAAAGGACTCAATATATCTCATACAAATTTCGTTACCTCTCAGTGGAACACCTTACCCTATTTTCACAGTACATGACGAAGAATTCGAGCATAAACGCATGGTAGTAACCTGTGTAGTGTCCATGCCACGCTGCTAGAAACAGCAGCGTCACTGACTGCGATATGAGCTTGTTTCCAGCAAACCTCAGTCGCTTGTACACATAGCTGTCAAAATGAGGCAGGCAAGTAAAGATCTGGTAGCAAATGCCACTACTCTCTTCTGTTCTGGGTGTACGGCTACGTTTTTAAAATGCTGAGACATTTACTGTTCAGTAGAAAAGAGAGGAAATAGGCATTTAAATGACATTAAATGACTTCTCCAGATCAATAGCATTGAACCGTGTTGCCTTCGCTTATTACAGTACCCTCTAGAGAGGACATAATCTTACTTCAGCACCATTTAGGGCAGGGGTTCTTAACCTGTGGTCCATGGACCCCACGGGCTTCAGGGGGTCAGTGAGCCCTATTGTATGCACAAACATTGTTTTGTGTTTATGTGTTTATGTGCTTATGTGCATTTTTTGGGGAGGTGTCCGTAGCTTTCACCAGATACTCCAAGGGGTCCATGACTCAAAAAATGTTAAGAACCACTGCTTTAGGGGTTACATGAACGCTGCTAACCTTGGCTTACCATAGCGCCCACTTGTTTGTGTTGATGTTGAACGAGTCGATTATGCCCTGAAAGCTTGTACGCAGTTCATACTGTCGAATAGAAACGTTCTTACACCCATCCCACTTGTCGTGGCCTTGTTCGTCTTTGCCGTTGTAAGTCATACCTGCGAGGATGCATGACCCTTCCTGAAATCAGAAAGAAAGAACGTTCCCGGTTTGAAACCGACACATTTTGTTAGTGCACAAACCACAACACACATCGCACGATTGTGTTGTATTTCAATCATTCCACCAGAAATGAGAAGATATTGCAATGGTATCTGCTTGTATTTATCATGGGTTATTTACCTTTCAAATTTGACAGGGCAGCATTTTAAAAATGTTCCAGATTTATTTCTTTAATCAAATGAACTATTATTGTCGTAATATATTAATAGCGATATCTATAATGCACTCTAGATAAATCATGGAACAAAATACAAGCAAGTGCATTATAGATGTCATTTTGTGTGTCATGGGATAATTAATACATACACTTATCACCCAGGATGCGATGTACTTGTAGATTTGTACCTTGCCCCAGAGGCCAATATATAGCAGTCTCCACCAGAACGAGGTTTGCTGAGAAAAGAAAAGGTTGCAAACTAACAATGAAAGTCTTCATGCTACAGACAGACATATTCTGATGAGGCTCCGCATGAGTCAGTCCTAATAATCACAATAATATAATAAAATTAAGGACGAATGGGTGCATTGTCGACGTAATGCTAATGCAAATACGTATGTAGTTGTTATTTCAGGGGCAGATCAGCAGCTAAGAAATGTTTTTTTCGCATTTGGTGCAACTGGAATCATATACGCATAACAAAAAACCTATAAAAAACTGGCGCATCGTTTAAAATGTCAAAATCACATAATGAGTTTAAATAGAATTTTTAAGAACCACACACTTAACAGTAACTTACTGCAATAACAAAATATCTGCCCCAGTACTAATCTGCTTACTCTATATTGCTTGTTTGTTGGCACGGCAACAGCTACCACACGTTGCTACCATATGCGCGTGACTTACGAGAAGTTCTCCATTGAGCAGCTTCTCGTCCGGAAAATAAGGCATGGCCGTCTGGTAGATGGTGATAAAGAGCAGCCCCTGAGCCGCTCTCTTCATCGCCGCATTGACACTATGAATACACAGTGAATACATGTAGCATGATCATGACTGGAGAATCACCACGATACTGCCAGACAACCTGACATGCAAATCGATATGCATCGGTGTTTTAAGACATGCAACAGAATGCTACGCCTATGTTAAAAATGCTGCAGTAGTTTTTCTCTAATGCAATATTACATGCTCATCTCTCTCTCTCTCTCTCTCTCTCTCTCTCTCTCTCTCTCTCTCTCTCTCTGTCTCTCTTTCTTTCTCCCTCTGTCTCACACACACACTGTCTTTAATTTTATGAAGTAAAAGAAATAATCGGGGCTTTCTACTATGAGTTCCTCACTGCCTATAATGAACTGATCGCTATGATTTTAATCAACGAGAATGACAATCATGCTTGGCAAAATAAATGCTGATTGTCACCTTTTTGGCGGGCTTCCATTCTTATCTGCAAATTCGCCGGAAACGAAATCGAGATATCGCTTTGTGCTATACTAGAATATCACAAAAACACATTCGTTACAATCTCATCAATCATGCAACAGAGCAGGCTGGCAGGGTGGTGCTTCAACGAACGGAAAGGAAAACTTGGAAGTTTGCCAAGAAAAACACAGGTGCCACAGAGCAACAGTGCTCATCTCATCTAAATTGCAGTCGTGCTTAGCAACACGTATTTTAGTTCCAAATGTGTTTACATATGACCTGAAAGATGATAAGTCGCAGGGAGGCATGGTATCAGGAGCGTTGTAGAATTGGGGTACAATACACACTATGATTGTGCCACGAGTTCACAGGTATATTCGAGCCTGCTGGGCATGCAAAAACAGCTGCTCTGTGACAAAATACTGTCTTAATCCAGATGAGACGGGATACTAGAGAAGCGTTGCCGAAAGGAGGTGTTGATCCGAAGCGCTAAGCGCAGATCTTGCGCGCAGTTCCGCGGCAAGGCGCACACGACCGCGACAACGTCCTACGACAATATGCAGCGCTGGCAGCTATGAATCCGTGCGCCGAATCCATAGGCCGGCGCACGGGTCCATAGCTGCCAGCGAACAGTCGGCAATTTTAGCAGGGGACACAGAGGGCAGACATTTGGCACGTGGGAGGAACTCGCGACTTACATGGGTGGTCGTACAGATGGGGGGGGCGAGAGCAAAGCTTTTGATTTCGCCGTGGTTCCATTTACGTGTGGTCTTAGGCGTTTTCACTATAAGTTCCAAACATAAAAAGTTCGAAGCATAAGAAAAATCGGACCATTATTTAATAGAAAATTTGATAAAATAGTGATACGAAATAGTACGCGGATTGTGCACCCAGTTACCTCTTTCAAATCATACGCTGTTTAAGAATCGCCATTCGCTGCATTTCCCCGGAGCTCTGCCCACTTTAAAAATAGTGTTAGCATTGTAGCAGTGATATCCTGAGTGTACGAAGGTAGTATTAGTACTAACACTACTGCCACTACTCACTAGTACTAGTACTAGTAACTATACTACTAGACTACTAGCTGCAAGAAACGGTATTGCTAGGGTTAGAATACCCTATATTGACGTTAGTCGTTAGTCACACAGCCTGGTCGGGTTACTAGACTATAAGTACCTACTAGTACTAGTACCAGTACTACTACTACTAGTTACTACTATAGTACTAGAGCTACTAGTACCAGTACTACTACTACTAGTTACTACTATAGTACTAGAGCTACTAGTATTACTATATAGTATAGTGCTAGAGCTAGTACTACTACTACTACTACTAGTACTAGCTGCAAGAAACGGTCTTTGCTAGGGTTAGAAGATCTGTGTAAACACAATTTGTTGTGTACACTGTAGTCGAGTAAACAACACCAGCGCTTTTTTTTCGTTCTAAACATACCGACTATAAATAAAGATTACTTGAACTTGAACTTGATGAGACAAAGGCAAGGTACTGCGTCACAGAAAGAAACATTTTCACTAAAAGATAGTCTAGCGTGTGCAACTGTCGACCGGGTACAAGTCTAGCCGTTAGGCCGGTTATAGCCGGTCTAAGCTGCCACCTGAGCTATAGCCTATAGGATAAGTGGGAGCGGAACGCATTGCATATAGCCTCGGTGCGCGCCATCTATCGCACGCTATATGTAGTACACTGATCAACGAAAACAATCAAACAACAAAGTTCAACTGCGTTTTTTACACGAAACCAAGCGCGCCGAGTAGCGAACTTCGAATTAGGAGCATTTCTAGGAAATGTCCTGCTACCTAGGTAGTGAAACCCGTAGTGCAATGGCCAGAACTCCTCAATTCAGCGAAGTTGGTGCTTGCGTTATATATGTAAACCGAGTAAGGTGATGTTGAAGGTGCAGCAAAATCGTGTTAGTGTTACCGCTGGCGCGGCGTTTGCGCGCTTCGAGCGGATATCCGGGCTGCCGATCGTCAAGAGGGACAGAATGCAATGAGACGCCTCTCACACATACTCACCTGGGGACCAATCATGCAGCCACCAACGAAGAAGCAGTTGCCCAATAACTCCAAAAGGGAAGGTAATTTCTCGAGGGCAGCCAGCTTCTGATCACTGCTGCGATCCTTGTCAGGCTTCTGGCCATCTTTCAGGTCAAATGCTAGTGCTAAAGAAACAATTGAAAGGCCTTGTTGAATTTCTTTCCAGTGAAAGCCAATGTATGTTTGCTTTCAGGTACGCGAAAGAGAAAAATTGATGCAACTCAATGGAATGCTAAAAAGTAATTATGTACAATTTATTCTGAAATCAAGAAGTTTTAACTTGCTAGATATAGATACGATTAACGAAGCTAATTTGACTATGGAAGGCTAAAGGAACATTTAACCGACATTGGGTTATGAGCTGTGGAGATGGGCAATGACAAAAATAGCACTATAACCTTTCACCGTTTTACAGCTGCACTCATTTGATGCTCTGGGGTGATGAAAATAAGACAAGTACATTTATAGCATAAAAACATGCACGCTGGCATCAACATATTACTACTACAATACCTACATTATAGCAGTGACAAATCACTGGGCAGTTCAATTTGATCAAAATGAGAAATGAACAGGGGTGTAGGTCTCACACTAGAAAGCTCTTGCCATAGTTGGCAGTGTAAAAATTTTAGGTGTGGCTGAGTTATGGGTCAAACAGTAGTAAAACTGAATCGTTGAAACCTACTCCATGGTTCATGAAATGGCTTAGCACTAGTAAACCATGGCTACATAAATTTCATGGTTGTAAACCTTACAATAGAAGTGTCATTACTGTATGATATATAGATATTTACCTATTAACCTGAGTGTGAGGACACAGTGGGGTGTCGTCCAATTGATGTCATATTCATCAGTGGAAAATATCAAATAAGAGATAAACAAGTAAGGCTGCAAAGAAATAGGAACAAAACTGTTATCCATTGACATCATTTGTGAATGTGGCATGAAGACATAACATATCACACATAGACACGCACACACCACAGATGCTTGCTCAATTTAATTTACTACCTTTTTAATTCCTATGATTTATGTCTATGCTTACAAGTAAAGTTAATGTTTACCTAGCTATTCTTTTAATGCATTGACTTCTGTGCTTTAATACTATTGACTTTAATGTGAAATGTTATAACTTACAAATGCAAAAACGAATGTTGCAGCTACACCAATTGCAGTTCCACCCCAGATGTATAAAATTGCATAGACAACAGCAATGCAAATAAATGAGTGAATCACGTGATTGCCTGCAAAATAAAAATAAGATATTTATAACAATTAACGTTAGTTCAAAGATGGACATCTCTGTTAGTTGTAACGATGTCACATTACATAGTGCCGTTCGCATACATTAAATACCACTTCACTTTATTATCTACCTGCAGAGTATTGTCAAGACATGCACATTCATGACATAAAATGTACATGCAACATGTTATACATGTTCATGGCATAAAATGTATAACAACAGTTGGATGAAAACCAAGTTAATTTAAAAATTGGCAGGTTTCCTTCATAAATAGTATATGAAAGCTAATATATATATATATAATCTTTAGGACTGATAGGATCATAGTAGTGCAGCTACAATATGTGACAATAATTAGCTGTAACAGGCAGCAAATACAGACAAATAAAATAATACCGAAGTTGTAGTATTCAATGCTGAAACCGGTTACAATGAAATATATGTGCTGCAGAGGCGGAGACTTCCCATGTAGATATGTACGGTGAACCAACACCAAAGGATATGCTGAAAGAAAGAAGACAAATGGCTATGGCATTCACTTTACGCAAGACTTCACGACTCGTATATACATGAATGATTACTGCGTGTAGCATACATGCACTATATTGTTCTGGTCTCCAGAGGTGAGAGCATGAAAATAAACTGGGTGTCTGCTTTGAATGAGACCACGGGAAAGTGTGGTTCTAATCTCTATGGTTTCTCAGGGGTAAAAATTAACTTTTGAACACGGGGGTCCAACAGACTACCTTCCCGCAAAAAGAGGGAGTACACAGTCTGAAGTTCAAAATTAAAGATATTAACAATAACGCATGTGCTTATCTTTAAGATTCATGCAGTTGCACGTCTGCCAAAGTTTCTTTGAACTTTTACTGAAAAAATATGGTAATTCCGCGGGGCCGTGCTCTGGAATGAACTAGCTAGAATGGCAGAATTTTCAGGGAGTTACACGGACTCCTGCATATGTCAAATCAGGGAGTATTTGACTCCGGACTCCCGTTAATTTCGCACCCTGGTTTCTTTTTCATAAAAATTATTGCTAAGAACAACTAGCAGTAGTAGCATTAGGAATACTGGGCCAAACATTTGGGTCTAGATGTTGTAGGAAAATAATATGCAACCACTGCATGATAAAACATTAATATCAAATCGTCCAGGTTTTTTGGATTTTGGATCTTATCAGGTAAGAATTTGACGATATGTTTAATACCGTTAGTTCTTACTTTTAATGTAAAAAAATGGCAACAAAGATTTTACAAATTTTACCATAGAAAATTCGTGATGCAGTCAATTTAAGCTGGGCTTAGGTCAGCCTTACGACGCGACGCAATTGCCTTGCGACTGATTTTCTGCAACTGGTTGCAAGTCGCAGCGACGATCGCGTCATAAATAAAACACACATTCTACGTTCTTGTAGGTCAATGCATGTCCAAGGTTGATCTGACCACACATTGGCATGGACTCAACTCCTTATTGTTAATATTTGTATTAAGTATTTGTTTAGCACAAATAAGCAATCTTGCATTACTGTAGAGCAGGGTGCGAAACTAACGGGAGTCCGGAGTCAAATACTCCCTGATTTACTGTCGGACTCCCTGATTTGACATACACGTTTATAACCGTAGCAACAGACCTCAGATGAGCCCAGACGCTCTGCGGCTCTTGTTACTATTTACGGTGACGTAATCACTTTAAGGAAAAAGTCCTTGGAGAGCCAGAACTGGAGGTGGGGGTACACCCCTCGCCCTAATGCACAATGATTAGAGTACATAAGGTAGCAGAGATCAGGCAAAATAGTCCAGGGCCATAACATCATTTTATGTAGGGAAAGTGCTACAATCGCATGGCCATGTCTAGTTTAATAGGAGAAGTGAGCGAGGCAAGTGACAACACGGTTAGTGGTTGCAAGGAGAAACCACTCCATAAAAATGCTACAAATCAAGCCCCATTGTACGTTCTCAGTGAACCTCATGCAGTGGTTGCATATTATTTTCCTACAACATCTAGACCCAAATGTTTGGCCCAGTATTCCTAATGCTACTACTGCTACTGCTAGTTGTTCTTAGCAATAATTTTTATGAAA